AAGAAATAAAAGGCTGAAGGGATAGGGGGCAGGGAGAGGATAAGGGAGGGATTTTTGGAGGGAATCCTCATATCAGATCTGGGTTAAAGAGAGAAAAACATATAAATTTAAAGGGAATAACAGTCTTCTAAATTTATAGAGAAATAAGAGGGTAAGGGAATAGGATGGGAGGAGTATAGAAGGGTGTGTAGGTTAATGGGCCCGAGATAAAGAGGAAATAATATATATATGGAAGGCTATAAAAGTCTTCTAAATTGATATAGAAACAAGAGGATAAGGGGAAAGGATTGAAGTGAGAGGATAAAGGAGGAGGGATCTTTGGAGGGGGTTGGTTAAGTAATAGGAGAGCAGGGTAGTGGGTAGAAGTAAAGTAGAGGGGTCAGGAAGAATAGGAAATAAGAGATACACAGAAATGTAAAGATCAGGAGTAGAATTTATTAGGGAGGAAAACAGTAGTAATCATGATCTCAAGCAAGGTTAAAGCTAAAATAGATTTAATCAGAAGAGAAAAATAGGGAAACTGAACTACGTGTCAGCCATATTAATATTGTTTTAGACTATTTAAAACAACTAGTACAAGGTTGGAATATTGCTGTGGTGTAGGAAACGATGAATTGGTGGACTTGGAAAAATATGGAAAGACTTGGACTTAGGGAGGAAAATTAGAGGAACAGAGGACAAACTAGTATAGTACAGTCTTACATAGATGCATATGAATATATGTACGTCTGAATATGCATATAGATATCTAAGTATATGTATATTTATGTAATTATACATATATGTATGTGTATATGTGTGTGTGTACACACATATACATACATATATACACACACACATCCATGCTTAATTGTAGCGTTCTTGGTGGAGGGAGGAAGGGGGCAAAAAAGAACAAAGTAAAAAGTGCACAGCAGAGAACAGAAGAAAACTTAACAAGGAAGCAAAGAAAAGATGGACAGCTCTCAACCCAATGTATAGTAATTATTATATAGGTTTTCTTGAAGTGGAAATTTATTGCTGTATATTTTGAATCTTATGTCCTGCTGTGCACATGGCAATGCTTTTTTTCTTTTGTATTTGTTTGTAATATGTTCCTTTTTCTTTTCTTATTGTGTATTTTAATTTAAAATAAATTAATAAAGAGAAATGTGGATAGTGTTTTTTTTTTTTCTCAAAAAGCAGTGACAGTGAATGGAAACACATAAACTAGGATGTTGCTTATGTTCAGTGGTAGTTGTAGACTTCACACATTCCTGATAAGTTAGAGCTTTCTCAAGAGCAGATCATTATGGGTTTTTCTAGTTAACTTGGACATCCATGTAAAAAATGTCTCTCAAAACGTTCTGCATGTACCACTTGGATGCCTCCTCATAAGAATGAAGTAACCTGCCCCAGCAAAGCCTAAGTTTCTGGCAAGTACTCCCTGGTTGTAAAGGCTTTGATCGCATGGGTGATTTGAGGAGAGCACTGGGGCGCAACAATTCATGAAACCCTCTGCTGAGGCATATGGGGAGATATGGTTGGGGGAGATATTGTGATGTGTATAAGTGGGAAGTGTATCCATATGGATGAAATCAGACTCTTTGAATATGAAGGAAGAGAGTCTCAGGTAGAATTATAACAGGTATTATGAGAAATAATATCTCATAACAGGGCAGCTGGGTGATACAGTGGATAGAGTACTGGACCCAAACAGGAATCCTGCTTCAAACTTTTACTAATTATGTGACCTTGGGCAAGTCACTTATCCTCTGTCAGCCTCAGTTTACTTATCTGTAAAATGGGAGTACTAATAGCACTTCCTTCATAGGATGATTACACAGACCAAATGAGATAATGTAGTATTTTCCCAAAGTCTTAGTGCATTTTAAAGCTAGTAAAAATACATACATACATGCATATATATATATATATATATATATATATACACGTAGTTATTGAGTAATTTCCAACTCTTCATGACCCCATTTTGGGGTTTTCTTAGCAAAGATACTGGAGTGGCTTGCCATTTCCTTCTCCACCTTGTTTTATAAATGAGGAAACTGAGGCAAGCAGGGTTGAGTGATTTGCCCAGGGTCACACAGGTAGTAAGTGTCTGAGGAAAGATTTGAACTCGGGAAGATGAGTCTTCCTGACTCCAAGCCCCAGGCTCTATCCACTGCCCCATCTAGCTGCCTCAGGAGAAATGGACATAGAGATATACAGATACTGGGACATAAAGTCCCATTTTACAGCCCAATGTCCACTTTCCATTAAACTTCTCCAATGAGACAGGAACCCCAAATACAATCTTGTCCTCTAAAGCCCTATATAAATAAATGCTACTTACAATTACCATTATATTATATTATAATGTAAAACATTATATAATACTGTTGCATTGTAATAATTATTATTATATTGTAGAAAAATCAAATTTATGTGAATTTGACTCTTTCCCTCTTAACAGGTGGTATTCTTGGTGTTTCCTTCAAAAGCCAGGGCAGGAGTTTCTAGATGGCCTCATGTCTTGCTTAGAAAGTAAGTTTCTCAGTACCTAATTACCAATATCTCAAGAAAGATTAGTTTATTTCCTTTTCCCCTTCATTTTATAGTATTTTATTTTTTCCAATTATATATATAGTTTGCAGCATTTGCTTTTATAAGATTTTGAGTTCCAAATTTTTTTCTCTCTCCCTCCCCTCCCCCTTTCCCAAGATAGCAAGCAATGAAAGATTAGTTTAAGTTGAGCAATGTTACAAGCAACAACACCAACAAATGTTGCTTCACAATTAGAACCAAGGATGTTTTTTTCAGATTACAGTTCATCTTAATTTTCTTGATATCTTTTCAGCTGCATTAGATGCCTGGAAGAAAAACAATAAACAATGTCCATTACCTAAGTTTATTTTCGTGTATCGGGATGGTGTAGGAGATGGTCAACTTCAAACTATGGTGGATTATGAAGTACCTCAGATGCTGAGATGCCTAAATTCTCGTCCTAATTATTCTTACAAGTAAGTACATGTGGATTATAAAGTGATTATTGAAACAAACTATTACCTCTAATCTTTAAAAGTAGTCTATATCAGAGGTTCTTAACCTGGGCTCCACAGGCTCCCCCAAGGGGATAGACTTAAGGGGATGGGAAAGATTATATTTCTACTTTAATACAATTGACTTTCTTTGTAATCCTGCGTGTTTTATGCATTTAATAAATTGTTCTTGGGGCAGCTGTATGGTGCAGTGGATAGAGCACCAGCCCTGGATTCAAGAGGACCTGAGTTCAAATACGGCCTCAGAC